ACACTGTCACAATCAGACCTCAGAAAAGAAGTCACGTCGGCCTGATGAACCGATATTCAACTATCAGAGAGACTGCGTTAGCCACTACCTCACTCTTTTCTCATTCTGGTCTTGCTTTACCAGAATGGTCGTTGTAAGTCAGAGGTAGAATCATCCCGTTTTCTTAAAGGTCGATTGGGTGATCTTTCACAACCCCATAGGAACAGGTCTGCCATGATTTCTGTCCGCTAGTGGTCAGTTAGCCAAGCAACGTGTCAAGGCCATCGTATTTTGCTCTCTCTGGTTTCCACAGTGGCATTTTTCATTTGGTGTGCCGCCTGATTTCGGCACTTGAAATGTCACCGCGAAGCGAAATGCCCAACTTCCTTTCTTCTATAGCCATATCAGTAACAGAGTGATTCATAAATAATCCTCTTCCATAATTAGCTGTCACGTTTCATAACCATGCAACATTGCCATCAACCAGGTTGTGTTGAAGACATAAGCGTTTATCGATCTGATGGGGTTCCCATGTAAGACGTTCTTGATTGGTTTGCATGAGCGCTAACAATGTTTTTGCGCGGGATTTCAACCTTTTCATCTCTTCGAGTTTTAGCGCTATTCGACAGTTCTAAAGCTTCCAACCTTCTTCGCTATAGTGGGCCTTCTGCAGCGCATCTGATCGTACATACTTTGTAGTCGAGTGACTGATATTTCGTTTAGACAAGGTAACTATAATCACGGCGCTCCCGGGTAGCTACCATGAATGATGGGTTTCCAATTCTGCCGGTTATTATTAGATTTCAATTCCTGATAGGCGACTTACACGGCGTAAGCGCAACACCCACTAGCTTTTATATGACTAAGTGGATTGTTCAAGCAACCTGCGAGTCTGTGAGTTTTAAACACCTGCAAACCCGGTATCAATAAATTTGAACTTATTAATTACCGGCTGAATTGGAAAGTTACCATTCGTGAGGTAGCTATCACTCAAGAACACTTTTTTTACATTTTGTCTTAGTTTCTCCATATATTCGCTTAAACACCATTGAGATGTGACCAGCTTAAGCCGCCCCTCTAAGCGTCTAGAAACAAAAGCAGTGCGTTTTCGCCACGTATATCTGGCACCGTTCCGTGGATAACTTGAAGTTGATATGTCCTCTGATTACATGACTGTTAACACGGAAGACGTTTACTAATCTTCCGTGGTATCGGCAGAAATTTCATCCGTCATCATCCATAAATGATCGATGATGGTCAATGTCAGTTCGGTCGAAAGTTCGGAACAGCAGTATACAAAATTTCTCATTGTTTTTCGTGCTACCGGCAATGGAACCAGTAGAAGTCTTTACCTCTTGTCCTTGTCCAGTTCTTTCAGCATTTCTTGCAGCCGAAGGGTCTTTTCATCGTCACAACAGTGTCCTCAGCGGATCTACGGTTGACTCTATTGTTCTACGTTGATCTTTGTTCCGTCTTTATAAGAAGCCACGTACCTCAGCGAATACGAGGTAGGAAGAGAAAATCAGTCCCTCAGTAAATGACGAACTGAACAACCTCAATTTCTATATCCGCAATTTTTTCCAGACTACAACGGGAAAAATGAGCCACCGTACTGATATGCTGTTCCACAAGGGGTCGAAAAATAAATGGGCGGAATAAAGGAGCTCGCCTACCAAACATCTCATGCCTTGTCCAACATGTGAACGAACTGGAACCCTTGATGTTCACACGCCCCATA